GTGTTTTGTGGAGAGGCAAGTGTTAAATCAGTTAGGGTTCAGCGGTTTATTATTATTAAGATCTTTGAATTAGAAAATATTTATTTAATTTCTGCTCATATTAAAATTTTTTAGAAAATACCGATACCAATTTTTAAATCCCGAGCCGGTATCGTATCATTATCTCAAATCCCGATACCGATTTAGGTTAATCCCGATCGCGAGGTCTCTGAATACCGGTACGCTGAACCCTAAAATCAGTACTTCCGCGCGTGCATCCGCGCGTGCTTTTAAATACTTCACATTCTTCAACGTATAATATAAACATGATATTCTTGACATTGCCTGTTTATCTTATCTTAGCCAAGGTTCTGGTCATCTTAAAAAATAGGCACGAAGATGGATTGAATACTAGAATATTTTGAGTTGCCCTTAATTTTTTAGATAGAAGGTTGTCAATCCAACTTTCTAGTACTAAAAACTATTCGTTATTCACTTTGATTCCAACTAATCCGTTTAAATTCATCCATACTTAAATCACTCCAAGTCCATCAATATCCTTCCATATCCAACAAAATCTCCATTAATCCGCAGATATCCTCTTAAGCACTCCAATTTCTATACCAATAGATATTAAGATTCAAAAATTAGTTAAATATTGCGAGGAATAATTACTATGATTAAAAAATCAAATTTTGTCTGTTTTTTATATTTTTTAAATGGGGGCCGTACTAATAAGGGGGCCGTACTAATTGAGGGGGTCGTACTATTTTTCAACCCTCATCAAAAGGGCCGTACTATTTTTCAACCCTCATCAAAAGGGCCGTACTATTTGAGGGGCCGTTCTAATAAAGGGGGCCGTACTATTTCAGTAAATACGGTAAGTAAAAATATTTTCAAAACTCCCTAATTTTCGAAAAAATTTACACACATTAAATATCTCTTTTAGCAATAGATATCAACAAAAAATAACTGAATTGAAAGAAAGTATTTTTACTGATTACAACAATGGGGTTAGAGCTAAAAATGTTTTCCTTCAAAAGATTGTAGAATTTATTGGTGTTTTGTAGAGCTGTTTCATGAAGGAAGGAAAAAGAAGAAACAAATGGGTTTTGGATTTTTTTTAAATTTATTTTTGGGAAGGGGTATTTAACGAAAATTTTTTTGGGTTTTTATGAGGGATATTAAAAGAAAAGTTTAAATTTGGTTAAAGATGAAAGAATTTTTGATTTATTTAAAATAGATTTTTATTATTTGGTTTGTTTTTGATAAGGGATCGGTTCTTGGTCAACATCGAGATTTTATTAAAATTTTGAATGACCGATCCCTACTTTTTTTTTAATTGCAACTGGAATTAAACTAGATCGTTTTTAAACTATAATTTTTAAATTTATGGTAATTTAAAATTTCAGAATTTTTATTAAAACCAAAAATTTTAAAAACAATGATAATTTTACCCTTATATTAAATCAATTTTTCAGTTTAAAAACGAGAGACTGTTTTTTAAGAGGTTTTGGAAAATCATTTTATATATTTATTATTAAAAAGTATTTATTTTTATAATTTAAATTGAGTAAAGTTTTGGATAAATATTGGATTATAGAATGAAACAAAAAACATACATGTTTTTTAATTAAAAATAAAAAAACTGAACACCATCAATAAATGTGTTTTTGTGTGTTTTTTTTAATTTTTGGTTACCTCTAACAGCGAGAGATCGAAATAATAATTCCCAGGGTAATTAATACAGTAAATACTGTATATTGAAAATTTTAGGTGACTCGATAGCAATTCTCTTTTTGTCCCAAAAATTCTTTAGATTTATTGATGGTGTTTAGTTTTTTTATTTTTAATCGCTTAGTTGAATTCTGATTTTAATTATTTACTTGGATTTTACAACCAAACAATGAATAATTCATTTACAAAAATTCTTTGTTCGAAATAAAATATTCAATCTTAAATATTAAAATTTGTTTTGAATTGCGGATAATTATTATATCCCGTAAACAGCTATGCCGGAACTGGACTTTTGGAGCAAATAAACTTTAAAAACATTAATATTTATTTAATTAAATAAATTAAAAAAATTTTTTTCAGTCAATATATCGATAATTTTTAAAGAAAACAAATTTTTTAACTGCCATTCTCTCTCTCCTCTCTATATTTCCCGGCAATTTTAATAAAAAATCTATTTAAAAATATTCTACGTGGTCCTCCCCTTCCTCCCCTAGCTATTGCCAATTTACTTATAAAAATTTTTAAAGCGTCAACATTTAAAAATAATTATTAAATATTTTTATATAATTTTTATTTTAAATAAAAGTTTTACTAAATTTTTAATAATTCAATGGGTTTTAATGCTTTATGAAGTCCTTTCCATATATCGGACAGACCAGCTGATTATGTGACAAATTACAATAAACAATAAATAATTCTGTTATATTATTTTTCAGTTTAGAAAAAAATTCTGTCGCAGATAAACTTTTTTGAAGAGCCAAAATACCGTATTTCCGAAAATAATACCTCATGGGTATTATTTCCTTATCCTTTAATGTCAAGTGTTGGATAAAATTTACGTTCAGATTCGTGATCAGTACTGAAATTACCCCAGAAAATGTATTTAAATAATTTTTAAATTTATTCATCGTAGGGACCCCTTTTCCTCCCTCAAATAATTACCCCACTTCCATTAATTACCCCATCCGGCGATAGATTGAAACAATAATTACCCCCAAACAAATGCCCCAAATTCCAAACTTCGTTTTTTTACTCCCTCAAGCGGAAGGTCAAGGCAATAGTTACCCAGGCTAGTTATTAAAGGATATACGGTAGATTACCTTGCCGAAACCGGACTTTTAACAAAAATAAATGTTAAAAACTTTAATATTTATTTAACTAATTAAATTCAATATTAATTTTCAATTTTCTGTCAATATTATTGATAATCTTTTAAAATTAAAAAAATTATTGACAATCTCTCCTTTGTATTTTTTGCCGAATTTAAAAAGGGCGCATGTAAAATAAAAAAATTTTTTTAATACGTGTTTAACGATTTAAATATAGAGAAATGATGTAGGGAGGGAGTGTAGAGATTGAGAGATGATGTAGGGAGGGAGTGTAGAGAGCGAGAGAAATGATGTAGGGAGGGAGTGTAAAGAGTTAGAGAAATGATGTAGGAGATGTAGGGAGTGTAGAGGAGTATTGCTTGGCAATACCTCTCCCCTACACTTAGAATGGGGAGGCATTCCCCTTCACTTACCTATTACTTGTAAAAATTATTTACAGCTTTGACATTATTTAAATAATTAAGAAATATTTTATATAGTAATTTTAATTTTAACTAAGGAATAGTTTTTGTTAAACTTTTATTAATCATTTAGGATTTAATGGGTTTTGAAGTCTTTTCCATATATCGGACAGACTAGATAGATGTTTATGTGGTCAAATCTTCAAAAAACAAATATACAATTCCTAATCTATTATTTTCATGCGTTTTATACCCGCATATTTTACTCTAATCTGCTTTATGCCTGTTCCGATCCTAATGAATTTTATACCATTCGAAAGCCCTCGATAAGCACTATCCTTTTCGCAACACGATTGTTCAAGTCTGAATGCCTATTAAAAGTTACAAGTCGATAAACGTGAAAAACAACGATCCTGAATTTATCTATATGTAACTTTTTACTTGGCCATCCAGCTTGCAAAAAAAAAGATATTTTAAAAAAGATAGAAAGAAAAAGAATTTTTTATCCGTACTTTTCCTTTTATTCCCTACTAACTAGGCTAGAAAAAATATCCTTAAATAATATCAGAAATTAAATTTGTTCTAAAAATATTTTTAAATCATCTACTGAGCAGTGGTATGTCGGAACAGTCAGAGGTGTCGGAAATCGGAAATGTCGGAACTCGGAAATCGGAAATCAAATTTTTTTCGGAAATCGGAAGGAAAAAAACGTCGGAAATCGGAATTCGGAAATCGGAATTCCGACCCACCTCTGCTACTGAGTAGGAGGTGGAGGAAAAATCCAACTCTTCCTTTTATTCCTTTTTTTTAATTTTTATTAATACCCTTCCTTAATTTTTCATATATATTTTTAATTTCAGAAAATGTATTATTATAAATTTTACATTTGCTTTTTGTTAATTAATATCACCGTATCTGTTGAGAAAAGTAAAGGAAAAAGGAATAATTTATTATTCCACCGTCGTTGCAAAAGGGGTGATAATTTTGGTGGCTGTTTTGGAGAAGAAAGTAGTAGAGGGTCTGATCAACCTTTCCAACAACGTGAGGGAAAGGCACACGTTGAAGAAGAAAGTGTAATTGAAGAAGAAGGAAATTCGGAGAAAAGGGCTTTGTATATTTTCGACAACTTTTTCTACTCTCACGTTCAATTACATGTAAATATTTTAAATTTATTTTCAAACAAATCTCGATTTAATGGAGGATTTATAGCAGCCACAGCTCGGCGTATTTCTTTAAAATAAAAAACTGGTACCGAATTAACTTGCCATAGCTTTTGACTATTACTTATGGCTCCGTAACTCAATTTACCAAACATTAAACGTTATGAAGCTTACAGCGCTAAAATATAAAAATTTTAAATTTTTTTAAAGAGCCGAGTCCAAAGTTAGGTTGGCACGAATACAGTATTATATAAAGGCTTTATCTATTATTAATATATTAATTGCATTTAAATTATATAATATTTTCCTAAAGTTTGATTTTAATAATAAATAAAAATTGCAGGTAATGCTTGCTACGGCTTTATCTGAAAATTACATTGTAGTAAGTGATTTATATAGAAGGGTTTTGACTTTAAACTCATTTTACCATAAGAAAAGGCTTAAATAAGCAGGATCGTTTGGCATAAAAAAATTCTTATGAAAAAAAATTTAATTATCCGTGGTTATTAATTACTGTTTTCTTGTTACAATTTTTTATTTATAGTGTGACTGATCAGTGGCACTAAAAAATATTTTAAAAAATACGGAATAAATAAAATTATTTTCTATAGGATATGCTTGTTTATTGTAAACAAAACGGTGAACCTATAGAAAGCCCTCAGTCAACCGACTTGAAAATTATCGAAATGTATATAAACAGAAACCATTTGGATTGGGTAAAAATTGCTACGGGGAGACTATTTGAAGCTTATGAAGATTTTAAAGAAACAGAAAATTATGAAGTAGCAATTTTTGAAGGTATGGGGTTCTAAATAAACTTTTTCCATTTAAAATGGCTTCGAGTTACATAAATACATAATTAAATATAATGTTGGATCTTCATATAAAATTAGTGGTAAAAACAAAAAAACTTGTTACGGCAGATATATAGAGTGAGATATTTAGCTTAGAAATCGCTGTGGGGTCATTTTGACCCCATCCATCGTCTAAGGGTTAAGTCGACTAATTGGCTTGAATAACCGCAAATTTTGGTCCCACAAAATGCGATCACTTACAAGTAGGACTATCGTTTCGCTAAATTTTTCCGTTAATCGTACCTAACCGGCACACTTCCAATGGTCTCAACTCTTAAGTTTGAGAGGAATTATAGAAATAGTTTTAATTTTAAGATTTATTAAACAACCCTCAAGTCATAATTGGAAATGAAAATAAACACATTCTTAATTATCTTCGCCAACAAGAATATTCTTTTGGAATTGCCGATTTTACTGAAATGGCTGGCTCTTTTGCTGTTTTTGAATATTTGGGAATTGAAAAAACTTTTAATGTTTTTCCTAGCGTTATTTCTCCTGGAATTCTTCAATTTTTTGGCATTAATATTGTACAACAAATTCGTAAAGGACATACTGTTATTCCAGGTAATTTTTTGGTAAAATTGTTAGAAACCCCGAAAAAATCTTGTCAAACAAGCCAGACAGAATAATTTGTAAAAAGATTACTAAAAAGCCGGACACAAATTTGCAGTAATCTTTTTACGTCCGAATCCATTTGTGTTCGACTAAATTGTTGAATTATAATTTGTCTTAAAGAGGGATGAGCAAAAGGAGCGATTTATTTATTTTTTAGAATTATGAATTGTTTTTAAAAAATTGTAAATTAAACGGTAAACGGGGCTTTCAAAAATAAACGAAACGGTATAGGGGTCTCAGATAAACGGTATACGGTTTTTTCAAAATTAAACGGTTCTGTGCAACCCTAATTTTTAACTTAAAGAATTAGCTTTTGCAAAACCCGGTGATTGGGAATTTACACAAGATGGATGCTATTTCAAATATGACAGATTAAATGATAATTTAGAAGAACATAAAAGTGAAATAAATATAATTAAAAAGCTTTACAAAGATATTGTTAGCAAAAAATTGGTCAAAGCTTTGAAAATACAAAGAGGAGAGCGAAGAAATTTTTTTAAGAATTTATTCAGTAAAATTAGCTATCATTTTGTTAATCAACATTTATATGCTAATTTTAAAAATTATCCGGTTGATGATAGAATTGTTTATATTGGGGGTATTCGTGTTGAGGAAACTGAAGAATATTTGAACATGGAAAATAAGAATAAGGTATGCTTGTTTAGGAAACACAACAAGAGAGCGTGCTGGCAAGGGCATTTCCATTTGGGGTATTTGATAAGACTTCGGGATACCTTTCACCTTAATCGGATAAGCTCTAACGGTTGATCATGTCCTCAGGCTTGCCAGAGCATGGTGTTACCGGTTTTAGCGCCTTTATAGGATGCTACCTCTCCTTTACCTACATGACACCTCTCTTTTATTGGCAAGAATGGGAAACATTATATAATGAAAATTAATGTGCGGATAAATATTATAATCATTACAAATATGTTTCCTCGTAAAGTAGCAATAACGGCAGTGTGATCAAGGTGCTCTTTAGCCCTTGGGTCTAGAGTCCACCTTACATTTACTAATTTTAATAAAAAGTTATAATGAAAATTAAAAAGTTAAATTAACATTACTAATTTTTTGTCTTCAAATAAAACAAATACATCTTTAAGTATCCTTCTCTGGTCCTTGTCTCTTTTGGGACAGTTAACATTGATGGTCAAATGACTAATAATGATGTTGATTTTATGATTGAATTATTTAAAGAATACAGTTATTATCAATTTAAAATAAAACTGCCTAATGATTATAATCTACAAAATTCTCCAAATATAGAAATTACTTCTGATTATATTGAACAACGAAAAATACTATGTAAATTATATTTGGTATTATCCTGAAGAAGGGTTAGAAGTTCCGATTTCCGTAATTTTTAGAAAATTTCTGATTTCCTACAATTTTTGAAGTTTTGTTCTGACAGGAGATTTTGTCCAAAATTTTCAAACACTAACTATATCTACTACTATATCTTTAAAAAATAAGAACTATATCTATCGGTTCCTGAAAATTCACTGTATAAAGTTAATCCTACAAAACCCCTTGTAGGATTCCCCCCTATGTAAGCACATTTGTATCAAGAGATAAAAAAGACATCAAGGGGTAAAAAATCAAGGAGTAAACCTTCTTAATAAGGGTAAATTTTCTTAAGAATTTACCACTAAGGATCTAAGTGATAAACCTTCTTAATCCATCATCTAAACCTTCTTAATCCTCAAAATCTATATTAATCCTCTTCAACGAATACTTGAATCTCTCGATGTTTGATCAAACCACATGTGAATTATTGGGATATCAGGGGATTTTGAAGCTAAAAAGCAATTTTTAAACTTTTAAGTTGATCCAAATACAAAATTTTTCATTTCGCATTGTGGACAGAATAGTTTGATTGAGGTAAACACAATTTAAGGATTCATAGTTATAAAATTTAATAAAAGATTATTAAATTTAAAGGCAATATATGCAGCAGTTCCTTTAATTTGTATTCCAAATTCTGGGGACCAATTCTACAATTCTTCTATTGTCGAACATTTGGGTATTGGGATATATGTAAGTCTACTTTGGAGAGATAATAATGAGGAACATAGAAATGATAATTTTCGTGTCGAATTTAGAAATGCTGTTACTGAGATGTTTGAAAAGTGGGTAAATTTATTTGGGAAATATATGTATTTCTGGGTCAGATTTGTTTCCTAATTTAAATAATTTAAAAGCCAAAATCATTGGTATGAAAAGAATCTTGATTAACCTGATAGATAAGGGCCACAAACAGTTTGATTAATATTATAATACTCAATGTTTGTACTCCAAATTTTGGAACACACCACTCTAATTACCCAAAGGATTGGGAAGCGCCTAGGCAATATCTCTAATTTTCTCTAATATTTTTTTTTTGCTTTTTAGGTGAAATACTTTTCTATTTTAAATTTTATTTGCAAAATACCTAAAAATTTAAAAATATTACAAGAAGGTAAAAAATTGACAAAAGGTGACGGGGGCAAATGCCCCATAAGGTTTGCAAAAGGGCCACACTGGTTTTTACATCCACAAGAAGTAAAATTGAGATCCGAGTTAGTATTTCAATACCAGAATAAGCAATACTCATCTAATAAAAATAAATTCAAAAATATCTTTACAGTAATAAATATCAACACGCAATGTTCAATTTGAGATACAATATTTTACGCGATTACAACAATGGCAAAAAAGCTAAAAATGTTTTCCTTCAAAAGATTGCAAGTGTTGTTGGTGTTTAGTAGAGCTGTTTTATGAAGGAAAGAAGAAGAAAAAACAAATGGATTTTGGATTTTAAAATTTATTTTTGGGAGGGTTATTTAAAGAAAATTTTTTTCGGGTTTTAGGAGGGTTTTTAAAAGAAAAAAGCTACCCAAATTGGGTTAAAGATGATTTTTATTTGGATTTTCTTTTATCGAAAAAAGTGTTTTTTATTATTTATACAACTAGAATTGCTCGAACCTCTTTTACTTTCTGATCACAGTTGATGTCACTTCATTCTAACGTTGGATTTTTCTATACGAGAGGTGACATACGACCGAGATTCGACTGAAAATTTTGAATTTTTGTTAAAATTAGGTTTTTAGAAAATTTAAAACTAAAAAGCGAGTGACCGGTTTTTGTCATGTTTGGGAATTTAATTTATATTTTTTACTAAACTTTTTTATTCTTAGTTAAATTGATAAAATTTAGTCAAATTTTATAGTTATATTTTGATAATTAAAATTTTATATTCTGATTTAATTAAATTTAACAATAAAAGATTTTACTGAAATATTATAGGAAAATAATTCTACAAAAGAAACCAAAAAATGTATTCCTTTAAAAATCAGTGTAGCTATTTCTGAATTGCTTTTAATTATATTAGAATAAGGTCGAGGTTTTTTGAAAAAACCGAGATCGAGGATTGCCGAGACCGTGGTCAAGGACTAAAATCGACGTCGAGGGAAAATTTAGACCTTACACCGAGGTCGAGGATAACCGAGGTTTTAAAAATTTTTTTTACAAGTTTTTGAAATTTAAACAAGCTAAAATTTATAATTATACACTTTATCATTATCAAATTCATCTTTTCATCAACTGGGGGTTTATCAACCAAAATTATGCACCAAGGATGGAAAATTTTGTGATATAATGGTTTCGATGGATAGTGATTTGGTGAAATATCCTCCCAATGGATTTCAGGGATTTAAGGGTTAAAGGCTTCATTTTAATCATATGACCCCCATTCACCTACTCACAAACTTACCCAATTTTGATATTTATATTGTAAGTACATATTTATTTCGTCGTGAACAAAATGTTTTTTTAATTTGTTTGTGCGATTTTTTAATTTAGGTTTAATTTTAGTAAGGTTTGACCATCAATGAGAAAGGGAAAGTTCAATAAATATGTAATGTATCAGTATGAGTTGTTTGATTTAAAATTTTTGTAATGATTAGAGTAGCAAAGATCCTCGCCCGTAATACGACGAGCATCTTCGCTAATGAAATCAAGTTGTAAAATATTTTATCAAAATAATAAAAATAATACATAGTATTATGACTGTTTTTGTCTAAATTCTAGTTTAAATATATAAAATAAAAAAAAATAAAATCCAAATAAAAATCATCTTTAACCCAATTTGGGTAACCTTTTTCTTTTAAAAACCATATAAAACCCGAAAAAAAATTTTTATAAATAACCCTCCCAAAAATAAATTTTTAAAATCCAAAATCCATTTGTTTGTTCTTCTTCTTTCCTTCATAAAACAGCTCTACTAAACACCAACAACACTTGCAATCTTTTGAAGGAAAACATTTTTAGCTCTAACACCATTGTTGTAATCCGAAAGAATTTTGTTTCTCAATTCGGATATTGCTTGTTGATATTTATTGCTATAAAATAATATATATTTTTAAATTCTGTCCACAAAAATAATCCAAAATAGCAAGAAAATAAGAGAAGAATGTCGATAGAAACAGCTTTGGATCGGATATCTTTATATTTGATAAAATTTTGGCATAAAAATGGGTGGCATTTTAATAGAGGGTGGCATTCAATTAGAGGGCATACAGTATCTTAGCTGTTAATTATAAAATTTAAGCAATAAATATATCCAAGAATTAGTATATTGTAAAGCATTTAGCTATTTAATTTCTAAGGCTGCGAAGTAGGCGGCGTGGTGTAATGGCTAACACATCAGTCCGGTTTACGGAAGATGCTGGTTCGCTTGCAGCCGCCGATTAACCTTTTGCACTAGTTAAAGGAGAGAAATAGCTATAGCCCAGCTGCTTTACTATATTTAAATAAATAAATTTCCTCACTTTTCAACCATTTCAGAGAGAGCTTTCGTAAATTCATTACCAAAATCAGGATTGCTATGTTCCTTATCTTTATCATCTATCCAAAGTAGACTAACATATATTCCAATACCCAACTGCTCGACAAGAGAAGCATTGAGGAATTGGTCCGCCGAATTTGGAATACAAATTAAAGGAACACCTGCATATATTGCCTTAAAATTAAAAATTTTTTTATTAAATTTTATAACTATCCTTAAATTGTGTTTACCTCAGTCAAACTGTTCTGTCCACAATGCGATATGAAAAATTTTGTATTTGGATCAACTGAAAAGTTGAAAAATTGTATTTTAAATTTGCTTTTTCCAATTATTTTTATGGGTTAACAGATATTTCTTAATATTTATATATAGGGCGTGTCAAAATACACACGGAAAATCCTAGAACATGCACTGAAATATACAAAATTTTTCAAGATAATACTGAATTTGTAAAGATTCGGAAGTCTTGAAGCAAGTTATGGCTTTGCGTTGTTATGGCCGCGCGTTGTTTTGGGCGTATCCCTGTGGACTAGAGTTCGGTTTTGCTCTGATTTTAAAAGAATTTATGACAAAAAAATAAAATTGTGCTTCTGGAGTTTTATTGCCTCTTCATGTTCTTAAAATTGATCACGATAAACTTTTTAATGGCTGATCAGACTTAATCCATCCTGCAGGGAAAAGATACCGCTTTTCGAACAGATTTCGAATGACTATGATTAGATTCCGTTTTTTATCTTTACTACAGTCAGTTTACGATAAAAATCGTTTAAAATAAAAAAATGAATGGGATATCTAATGGATGATATTTAAATCATTAATTTAAAAATATAATTTACATAATATTTGTCGTTGCTCAATAAACTCATCACTAATTTCAATATTTGGAGAATCTGTTGGAGTATAACCAGAAGGCAATTTTACTTTAAATTGATAATTACTGTATTGAGTAAATACATCTATCATTAAATTAACATTGTCAAAAGTCATTCCAGCATACAGGTTTACCGTTCCAAAAGAGACAAGGACCAGAGAAGGATCCTTAAAGTTGGATTTTATTTTAAAATAAAAAAATTTCTTTCTGGCAAAATCTTTTGATATAAATTTTAGAAAGCTAAGAAAGCTTCTTTTTGGAAAGCTTTTAGTAAGCCTTCGTTTTCTGAAAACCGAATAGGAGGACAATCTGTCGGGATCAGAGGCGGGTGCCAGATGGAATGTGACTCGATCCTGAGAGCTTTCTCATTATGGTTGTTATCCAATCGATCATCAACAAAAAAACTCTATAAAAAATCCTTCTTAAAAATGTCCTAGCTCCAAATCGGAGCCGACGTTTTCCTGAGCCACTCCATGATTGCAGAATATTGTTATTCACTATTACGCCGCCTGCCAATACTCCTATTACGCCGCCCGCAATTAAATTACATAAATAGCTTTAACTTTTTAATTTTTGTTAGAATTAATTTACATTCTTACATCTTTCTCTAATGTCAAGTCCAAATTTTCTACATTTTCCTCAACAATAATACCTCCAAGATAAACAATTTTTTCATGAACTGGGAAATTTTTGAAATTAGCATAAAAATGTTGATGAACAAAATGATAGCTAATTTTTCCGAATAAATTTGGAAAATATTCCTTCCGGTTTGCCCTGGGCATTTCTAAAGCATTAATCAAAGTTTTGCTAACAGCATTTTGATAAAACTTTTTTTTTGAATTTATTTCATTTTTATGTTCCTTCAAATTTCTCTCGAATCTTTCTGGTTTGAAATGACATCCATCTTGTGTAAATATCCAATCTCCAGGTTTCGCAAAGTTTTTTTCTTTAAATTAAAAATATTGAGTAAAATTATAATTATATTTTAAAGCATATTTTTCTGAAATGAATAACCATAGGCAAATAAATAGACTATAGAAATACCATGGTGGGCTTTTACAAAGCACCAAAAAGGAGCATGGCAAAAAAGGGGGCGTTAAAAAATGGGCTCTAAAAAAGAGGCAAAAGGACCACCCTGATAAATACATATCTGAAGATTAAACTTCCAAGCTCATTACCTTCTAATCAAAAAATTAGGTAAAGTACTGACACTCTAGGGTATTAATTAGTAATTTTAAAAAGATTTTGATGTTTTCTCTGGGGATTATCTCTATATTTTTGATCTTTTAATTTGTAATATACACATATTGTTTTTAATATATTTTTATTAAAAATAAAATATTTATTGGGGTTTAGACTAGGTTGGCAAGCTTTTTTCAGTTTTTATTCAGATACCTTCCCTTACAATTCACCAAAAATATACCTGGAATAACAGTATGTCCTTCACGAATTTCCTGTACAATATCAATTCCAAAAAATTGAAAATTTGCAGGAAGAATAATATGTGCAAAAACATTAAAAGTTTTTTCAATTCCCAAAAGCTCAAAAACAGCAAAAGACCCGGCCATTTGAATGAACTCGGCAATTCCAAAAGAATATTTTTCTTGTTGAGCAATCCAATCGAGAATACCTATATATTCCTCTCCAATTTTGACTTGAGGGTTATTAATAAAATCTTAAAATTAATATTATTTTTATCAAATTTAATGTGAGAAAATCCAATTTTTAGAAGTTTTTAACAATTAATTTGTATTCGATACAACCCAATAAGTTGATGATTTAGGATATCCGAAACCAGAATTAAAATTATATAATCTTTCAGGAACCGATTTCCATAAACTCATTTACTTTTTAGCCTGAAAATGTTTATTTAGAACCTTATACCTTCAAAAATTCCTACATCATATTGCTTTGAACCTTTAAACTTATAATAAGCTTCAGTTAGTTCATCATCGTTTTCAATTTTTTCTTTATCCAAATGTTTTTCGTTGATATCCATTTCAATAATTTTCAAATCGTTCGGCATTGGTTCGAGCTCTATATGAGAGCCTATTTCTTTACCATATACAATCATGTCCTGTAGAAGATAATATTATTTAGGATTAACTAATAGAACCCTAAATGATATCTACTGAGTAAAAAAAGAGTAGATAATCCCGGCCAAAATGCTTTTAGATAAATAACTCACCACAATATAATGTTCTGATAATGCCTTCGCGAGCATTAGCTAAAATTTTTATTATTAGTACGGTCACAATGGTTGATTTCTGATTATCACAAAATCAGATTCAGGCCTATTCACTCTCCTATCTAATGTTAATTTTATTAGTTAATTTCGGTAATAGAGCAGAGCACAAAGACCAAGTTTTAAAGTTTAAATTTTAGTATAACGGCGAACCCGATACCAGAGTTGCGTCGCAATCGAAAAATTTTTTTCGTAATCGTAATTCGAATTTTAAAAAATTTTCGGAACCGTAATTCGTCACTAAAAAGTAGGTTAGTCTACAGCCATAAGCAATAGTCAAAAGCTACGGCAAGTTAATTCGGTACCAGTTTTTATTTTGAAGAAATACACCGTGATAAATCCTCCATTAAATCGAGATTTGTTTGAAAATAAATTTTAAAATATATTTACATGTAATTGAACGTGTGAGTAGAAAAAGTTGTCGAAAATATACAAGGCCCTTTTCTTCGAAGTTCCTTCTTCTTCAACGTGTGCCTTTCCTTCACGTTGTTTAAAAGGTTGATTAGAGCTTCTTTTACTTCCACCTCCAAAACAACGACCAAGATTATTACCCCTTTTACAGCGACGGTGGGATAATAAATTCTTTTTTTCCTTGTTTCTCTCAACAGAAATGTTGATGAAAATCAACAAAAAGAAAATGTAGAAAATTAATTTTAAATAATACATTTTCTAAATTAAAAAAAGGTTTATTTAAAAGGTTGGTTTTTAAAAAATTTTCCAATCAAACACGTTTATGTGATTTGTTAGATAAATCTCATAAACCCCCATTTCCTCATCATCAGCTAAATCGCCCGATACTTAAAAAACTTCAAAACCCATTAAAACCCAATTAAAAATTTATTAAAAATTATTTTTTATTAATTATTTTAAAATTATCAAAGCCCTAAAAAAATTTTTTAAAAGTAAACTGGCAATAGCAATATGGCAATAGCAATAATTATTATAGTACATCCATCGAAGTAAAGAGAGGTATTGCCGAGCAATATATCAATCTGTATTTCTCTATATTTACCACGTCGAAAATTTCAAAATAAAATTTATTTTACATTCTCTATAGCGATTTTGAAAGGGGCCCAAACCTAGCATTAGAATTAAATTTTCATGTCAGAAACAATTTAAATTTTAAAGTTCTGGATGAAAAGAAAAATATTTGGGACAAATTTACAAACTTAAATCCAAAAGGCTGAAATTTCGAAACAGGGCCCTTTCCAAATCGCCAAGAGGGGAAGAAGCTATAGAGAATGTAAAATAAATTTTATTTTGAAATTTTCGACGTGGTAAATATAGAGAAATATAGATTGATATATTGCTGGGCAATACCCCTCTTTACTTCGATGGATGTACTTCGATGGATGTACTTTAATAATTATTGCTATTGCCTATTTACTTTAAAAAAAATTTTTAGGGCCTTGACAATTTTAAATTAATTAATAAAAAATAATTTTTAATAAATTTTAATAACTAATTAAGTTTTAATGGGTTTTGAAGTTTTTTAAGTATCGGACGTGTTAGCTGATGATGAGAAAATGGGGGGTTTATAAGATTTATCTAACAAATTCTCAAAAAAAATTAATGAACGAAATGGAAACGGAATTTTCGGTCTTTGTATTTTCCATGATTAACATTCCTTAACTTTAGCCCAATCGAAAATTAATAAAATATTTATAAATGGAGAGAGGTTTATTATAAGAAGAATTATAAACCATCCTTTTAAATAAACCTTTTTTTAATTTAGAAAATGTATTATTTAAAATTAATTTTTTACATTTTCTTTTTGTTGATTTTTATCAACATTATTGTTTAATACTTATATAAAAAACCCCAACTTGTCCCTATTTTTGGGGGTAAAATCGCTGCCAGAATCAAAATCTCTTTAAGGCTTCGTCATGGATTTTTTTAAGTTGTGGATGGGTCCTACAACTTTTTGAGGCGCATCTGGGAAAAATATGAACTCGGCGCCAAAACGTACCTCCGCGCCGAAACGGCCGTTTCAAAATTCCAAACGGTCGTAACTCGGAACGAAAAAGTCGGATCAAAAAGTGCTTGGGGAAAGGGCACTCCCCCAGAATGTGGGCTACAACGTGGGAAAAAATTTGGAAACTTTGGGGTGACACTTGAGTACGATGTGCCGCCTTAACTGAGGGTCACTTTGTCATGGATTGTGACATCGTGTCCGACGAAATTCACCGACAATTTTCAAATTATATACCAATCGATAGCTCTCGATGAGTAGAGTCTGGGAAAATTTGTTTCAAATTTTTCTGACCATTTTGAAAAAAGTTATAAAACGCCAAAGGGACAAAATGTCCAGGACCCCTATCGGGAAGGGTGGCTCCCATTGGGTCTGATTATAAAAGTGCTTAAACTGGGGCGAATGTTCTCATCTCTTTTTTAGTATTATAGGGCACTAAGTGTATTACAATTTTGTTGTGGGACACTTGAGTCTGGGACTTTGATTTGGGGTTGATGTGGTTCAAAGAGTCCGGGACGAAAAGTCGACTTTTTAACGCGTGAATTGAAACTCGATTTGAGTATCCTATCTTGTAGAGCTTCTCTTGAAACCTCTAAAAATATATACTTTGTTGGGAGTACACTTGAGTCTCAGAAAGTTATAGGCCAAAAAGTGACTTTTTGGGGGCCAAAAGTGGCCGGTTTTTTGAGTGTAACTTTTTTTAAAAATTTTTTAAAAATAAACGGACTTCAGTTTCGGATTCCGCACATATTGAAGTACCATAAAACATATTTTTCTCGATGTCGATTTTTTGAACAATTTCTGAAGGGGTACCCCTATTGAAATTTTTTGGCAAAATTTAAATCGGATGTAACTTTGCATGATTTTGTCGTAAACAAACGAATTAAAGTTTATAAAATAGAGTAAAAAATTACAAATTTTTTTAGCTATTAATATTTTAGAAAAATTTCACCCGAGGTCTGTTAGGGTCGATTTTTTGAAAATTCAAAAATTTTCGGTTTTTGAAATTTTTTGGGGTATATCGAGGCCGAGGTTGGTTGCAACTATTTTTATAAAATAGAGTAGAATTCTTACTATATAATAAGCTTTTAAAATGTTTCAAAAGGGTTTATTTTCGGGGAGTTATGAATTTTTAACTGTTCTGGTAAATTTTGGTTCTCATAATTTGGGCAAAAAATTAGACGCGTCAAAAATTTTTAATTTTTTCATAAAAAGCATCCTATATGGTACTAAAACATGCGCTGAGTCCAAATTCGTTCTCAGAAAAATTTTAAAAAATTTCCTCGGGACGTTAGAGTCTCATAAAGTTTTGCGACATTTGCGAACATTTCCCATAACTTTTTGAGACTCGAGTGGACTCTCAACAATGTATACTTTTTTCAGAGCACTAGGGGAATCTCTTTCGAATAGGCTATTGAAAAAAGCTGAAACGATGTTTTAAAAAATGCCGACTTTTTGACCCCGACTCATTGAACCATAACACCCACAAAAGTTGATCTGAGACTCAAGAGGTCAACTATGTATAACTTCTCCACACTCTACCCTCCAACATTGCTCCCAGGCCCCAAGACCCCCATCCCCTCTATAAAGCGTTATAACGCTTTGAAATTTTCATCCGGCCATTTTGGTGCCACACTCAAGTGTGGCACCAAAATGGCCATGCCCATTAAATTCCCCGTGGCCGGTAACCTATTACCCCGCTTCTTTTATTTTAATTAGCTTTCAACCAGCTTTATTATAAACCGTGGGCATTTTGTCCGCCTGACCATTTTGTCCATAGGCATTTTTTGCCTTTTTTCTCATTTTTTTTTAATTTTTAAAAATTTTGTTTTTTTTTGTTTTTTGTGGTTTTTTTGGAAAATTTCCGGTTTCCTTTTTATTTTTTTTTATTTTTTTTTATTATTTACGCGTCCTGATCACACCCCAGGCCTTTTGTCCCGAAAAATCTCGAAAAAAATCTCGAAAATTGCAAAAACTCGCTTTTTGCATTTTTTAAAGATTTTTCCAGTTTTTTAGGATTTTTTTGCGGTTTTCGAAGTTTTAGTGGGGTTTATTTGTTCATAAAGTATAATTTAGGACCCGTTTATTATAATTATGTTAAGTTTACCCAACTACTTTGAGAAATTTCGGGTTTTATGAAATTTCGAAAATTCGGTTTTGGGGCGTGATCAGGGTTATTTTCAGGGTACTTATTTACTTTCCCCTCTATTTATTTTTTTATTAAATATTTAGCATGGTCAGTCTATCATATGTTGTAGAGCTCATCGAGCTGCATCGAATGACACAAAAATCAAAAAAATTCGGCTCGGTTTTTCCGAGATAAAGACCCCTGGAAACTTAGACCCCACGGGGGTGGTTTTTTGGAATTCAAAAAGTTTATGCAAATGATACCTCATTCGAAAGAGCTCGTCAAGCTTAGTCGAATGACAATAATATCGACAATCTTGGACAAGATTTGACAAAATTATGACTTAAGTCACCGACTTTTCGTATGTTTGTTTTATGTAATAACTTTGTCAAATCAAGTCTAATCTTGTCTATATTGTTGTCATTTGACTCAACTCGGCGAGCTCTCTCGAATGAGCTATCATTTGCAAACCTTTTTGGTTTTTTTGTTTTTTTCTCTATTGTTTTTGTTTTTGGGGTCTGTATTTCGGTCAAACCAAGTCAAATTTTTTTTGATTTTGCTGTAATTAGAAATTTTGTTTCTATAAATATGAATGACTGAACTTTTTTACTTATTTACTGAAAAATTGTTTGGGGGGTGGAAGCGAATAAGTACCCTTTTTGCTTAATTGCTCTTTTTTTAATTTTCTTTTTAATTGTTTGGTTGTATTGGCTGCAATGGATGATCAACTCAACACTTCATCAAAAATCAAAAGGTTAGTTTTCCCCTCCCTCGGTCAAGGGAGTCGTTCCCTACTAATCAGGGAATGTTCCCCGATTAGGTTTATTGATAGAGGAGGGGTCATGCCGGATTTTTTCGTAAAATCCGGTATGAACCTTGCTTTATTAAGAGGTGCCTAATCAGTGGGCATTTTTTAATTAGGTTTCATTCTGGATAGACGGGTCATGCCGGTTTTTAAATCGGTATATACCATTACAGGATTAAACCTAATCATAAAATGCCCCCTAATTTGCCTTCTCTTAATTAATCACTGTTCATACCGGATTTCACGAAAAAATTTCGCTTAACACCTAATCATCAAAGCGTACACCTAATCAGGGAACATTCCCTTATTAGTAGGGAGCGACTCCCTGACCGAGGGAGATGATAAAACGAACCTGATGATTGTTGTGAAGTGTTGAAGTTGCTATAATCGTATTTATGCATTGCGTGGTATAATTTCGGAAAACGAACAGAGTCACCATAGGTCAAAATATATGTTATTCGAAAGAGCTCGTAGTTTACTCCTTCCACAAGGTTACGCGGAAAAAAGTTTTTGCCGCTGCGGAGGAAGCCGGGCATGTCGAGCGGAACGACGGCCGCCGCTTCGCTACGGTCGCCGCGAGCGAAGCGAGCACGACCGCAGCGAAGCACGGCCATCGTGTAGCGAAGACCATGCCCGGCCTACCCTCCGTAGCAGCACAAAAACAGTTTTTCCAGCGAAGATTCAGTTGGTAATAACGTTGTTCAGAAACATTCAATCGAGCTGATTCAATCGAGCTTGCCAACGATCCATAGGTTTAAGTTCCAAGCACTGTATTTCGGCTCTTTGTGTCGTCCCAATCGAAATTTTGGTGTCGTTTGACTCATCTTGCCGAGCTGAGTCGAAGCATGTCCCAATTGGAGTCTGTTATGTATTCCAAAATTATTCCTAAATAAGTTCCCTTTTATATTATTTTTCTACTTTTCAGATATTTAGATAATTATATTATTTTATTTATTTTTAATGCCTTCTAATTTGCGACGAAAGCGAACGCAACAACGTGAGTATTATAATAGAAAGCGTTGTCGCAATGATGTTAATGGTTCTTTTGAAAGTGAAAATTTGGTTGATGGTTCTGTAAATGAGGGTTCTTTGGTTGTTGGTAATAGTAGTTTTTTGGATGATGGTTGTTTAGGTAGGGATTCGTTGATTGTAGATCAATGTAGTAGTTCTGTGGATGATGGTCGTTTAAATAGAGATTCTTTGGTTGTTGGTAGGGGTAGTGATATGTTTGTTGATGATTGTTTAGGTGAAAATTCTTTTGAGATTGATAATTTGTTAGTTGAAAATACTTTAGAAAAGTCTGTGGTTGAACGTGATACGAGTATTGAAAGCGATTTAAGTAAAATTGATATTATGAGTAATTTTTCGAGTTCTGTTTCACGGTGTATTACCCCTGTTAGTGAAGTTTCATTGTTGCCGAAAAGGGGCAGACCATTAAAAAGGACAAGCTGCGGTGGTAGGAAGAAAAAAGTTGTAAAAAATAGTGAGGTGTTACATTCTGATATTGTTACGAATTTTGAGCATTTAGAATCTTTAGATATTCCTTATGGTCCTTTGTTACGTTCAGATATACGTATTTTTGCTCAAAATATAAACCCAGTGAGAGATTACATTAAAGGTCTTTGGTCCAATCCCAATTCGTGGTTAGAAGAAAACTATATTTATTATTATTTAAACTACTTAACCACTCGCACTAATAAACGAATTGTTGTACTTGACCCTGCATTTTCTTTTGTTGACTATCAATATGGGGATAGAGATCCGTTAATTCCTATAGAAAATTGTTTTAATTATTCAGTCGATTATGACATTTTGCTCATGCCCATCTGTTTTCCAGGTCATTTTGGGCTTATAATATATGACCGTTCTAATATAAATGATATTAAATGTTTGTTTGTTGATTCTTTGCCTGCTGTTGATAGATTGTTTAATGTTCGATATCCTGGATTTGATATAAGGCGTATTGATTTGATAAAACAAGGCATAAGTGAGTTGACACCTGGTATTGATGCAGATAATATTAAGATTCAACCCCTTCCTCGTACTCAATTTAGTGAACAAAATGACGGGGTTAATTGCGGGTTTTTTGTTTGCTTGTATTGTGAATTGTATTTGTTTAATAATAGTAATATGTTGATTCCTGATTTAAATATTAATTATGAAAGGAAAAGAATAATTTGGAATCTTTCTAATTTAGCGTTGGCTAATGAAATTGAATATATAGGACCTTCTTTGATACATTCCGCGAATACGCCTGACGGAAATTGTTTTCATTTTAATTTAGAATTCCCGGGAGAAATTCATGAAAATTGTGTAGTTAATAATTTACCGGTATTAAATATTGAACCTGATCCTCCTTCACAAAACTTAAGAAGGTCTGCAAGAATTAAATCTATGCAAAAAGATGATGTATCCGAACTAAATATTAATAATATTACACTTAATAACTTAAAGGAAATTACACCCCGTTGTCATTGGTCTCATAAATTATATCCTTGCGCAGATGTGCGCGCTAGACATGTTGTAAGCTACTACGATTCTGGAAATATTGGAGATAAGGATTGTTTTTATTGCGGCGCATTGTTGTTTAATTCTGAAATTAACGAGGCACATTATAAGAAGTTTAAAAAGATTTCCTCTTCATATTGTTGTCGTTGTGGCTTAGTTAAACTTCCTTCGTTTAAACCCCATCCTCAGTTATTAAAAGACTTAACTAAAGGTGATACTAAGGATTCTTTAAATTTTTTGAAAAAACAAAATGTATACAATTCCCTCCTTGCTTTTGCGTCAATTTATGTAGGACACAGAGAAACTAAACATTACGGTGGGGTTTGTTATCTGCTAAATGGCGAATTTGTTAGAAAAATGAGTTCGATGGTAGCTGGAGATTCAGGACCATCATTTTCCCAGTTATATATATTAGATGCTGATACTGCTTTTCAGCACCGAGTTGCCAATGTTGCTTACGGAGGGGATAGAGTTAATCCAGATGTATTAAAAAGTTTAGATACTTTACTTAGAAATTGTCACCCCCTTGCAAATGTTTATAAATCTTTTCATGAACAATATTTAGACAAATTGAAAAGGTACGGCCCTGATTCTGTCCAGAATTTTAGACTCGTACTTTTGGAAGAGCGAGAAGCGCCTGAACTTATTATAGATAATACATTACATGTTAGACAAGTTAATCTTCCTACTGAGGAGACATTGTTTTCGTTACATACCGAGGAAAGTGAACCTCCTATTTTGAAGGGGCTTTTTATTACTGGGGAGCAAGGGAAGTTATTTATCTTTCCACCTCATCATCCTCAAACAGATACATTATTTTACCCACTTTTGTTTCCGTGTGGAGATGATAGTTATCATAATAAGATTCCGATTGCTAGAAAAGTTTTAAACGAAGAAAATAGTGATAATAATTCAGACTGTGAAATTGATCCTCTTTCAGATAATAGGCGAAAAAATATAAGTATTCGGGATTATGTAAAATATAGGTTGGCGTTAAGAAAACACGAGGATTATCATAATATTTGGAATTCTGGGGGAGGTTTAAGCCAAAAGTACGCTTTAGATTATAATGCTAGAATTGATTCGGACGTAGCAAATTATTTACGTAATGAAGACATGGATTTACGCGGTACTATCGGTCCTGATGCTCTTAGGTGGTTACAAAGGGACTCTGGTGCTAATTCTATTGCTGATTTAGGGCATGTTGTATTGTTTAGAGCTTATCACCCAGGGACACGACCATATTTTCAGGACATGTTTTACGACGCCACTACTCTTATGGCTAAAGTACGTAAACCTGAAAACTCCTCCTTCATGTTCACTTTTACGAGTAATCCGCGCTGGCCTGAAACGAAAAGAAATTTATTTTATAAAAATCAGAAAAGCGTTGACAGATTTGATATCATTTCTCGTGTATATGAAGACAAATTAAGACATCTTCATTATTTATTAAACAAAAAAAACATTTTTGGAAAAATTTTGGGATATGGTGAGAGTAGGGAGTTTCAGAAAAGGATTGGAGGCCCGCATTTGCATAGAGTTTTTTGTACTGATATAGTTCCAACCCCAGATAATATTTCAAATTTAATTTATGCGCATATACCACCTGAACCTCCTGCAGATGATAATTCTGGGTGGGCAAAATTTATGAGAAAAGTTAGAGAACTGTTACCGCTGTATCAGTTTCATGACTGTTCAGACCATTGTAAGACACCTAATGGAAAATGTAAAAAGGGGTTCCCAAAGCCTTTTAGTAATATTACTGTTTTGCATGAGAATACGCCAGCAGAATATTATCGTCCTTCCCCTAAAGATGGCGGAGAAGTGTTAAAAATAAAGCATGGGAAAGCAGTGATCACATATGATAATTCTAAAGTAGTACCGTATAATCCACTTATTTTGGTTATGTTTCAATGCCACCATAATTTAGAGTTCGCGTACGGCCAAACTGATAATTTAAAGTATGCTTTAAAATATCCTTTCAAAGGTTCCAGTTTTTCATATGTGCGTAGCGAAGCGAGCGGTCTTATAACAGTAGATGAGCCGTTGCATTATGCTAGGATGATTTATCGCAGTCCAACTGAAGCTTACTCAAGGATAATGTCGTATAAATATGCTTTTTTATCTCATATAGTAAAAGCTTTAACGATACATTTACCAGAAAATCAGAAAATTTATTTTACAAGAAAAAATACAAGTAAAATGATTAGTGCTATTAATTCAGGTAATATTCCGGATTCACCTCTTTCTGCTTATTGGAAGTTATGTGATAAGGATTCTGAAGTTAAAAATATACTTTTTGAAAACATGCCAGAAACTTACGCGTTTAATAAAGAACATAGAATTTGGAAGAAGCTAAATATTTCCAATAAAAATAAAAATCGTAAACCACGTATTGGAAGGATTTATTCTGTGTCCCCTAGAGATCCCGAAAAATTTGCTTTATATATACTAACTAAACATTTTTCTGGAACCCCAGCAGATCTATTAACTGTTAATGGGTATGAATGTCAAACTTTTGCCGAAGCCGCAAGATTGAGAGGATTATTTGAAGATAATAATGTTTGGGAACGCACTTTAAGAGAGGGCTCTATTTCTTTAAATCCTTCTCAAATGCGTCAGTTGTTTGCCAATATACTTGTATTTGGTGGTACTGAAAAGTGTGTTATTGATGGGCTTTTACTGTGGAATATGTTTATTGATCACTTTTATGACCGTAGGTGTACTGATGATGTAAGAGCGATACGTATTGATAGAGCTTTAGCAATAATAGAAAAACTTTTACTTAGTAACGGTCGTAGTTTGCAAGAATTTAACCTTCCTTCTCCAAATAATCCAATAAGAAACGATCCTGACAGGGCTCTCGACGAGTTTTTCTTCCCACATCATATTAATGATGATGAAATGGATGAGGCCGTAGATACGTCTATTTTTGATAATACTAATTTAAATCCAGAACAGAAAAGATTTTTTAATTTAATTCGAGATTCAGTTTTAGATCCTAATTCTAAAAATAAATTATTTTATTTGTCTGGAGATGGAGGTACTGGGAAAACTTTTCTCCTCAATTATATTATTTATAAATTACGAGAAATGAGACTAAAAGTATTAGCAACCGCCTCGACCGGTATAGCAGCCACAAATTTTTACGCGGGAGGAATGACATTTCATTCTGCTTTTAGGTTCGGTATTAATGTGGAACCCGGTGTAATTCCACCCGTGACAGTAGATAGTTACTTTGGGCGCAGAATAATTGAAGCTAATTTGATAATAGTTGACGAAGTTACAATATTAAATAAAACAATATTTGAAAATGTAAATCTGTTATGTAAAACATTAATTCCTCAATTTAAAAAAGATCCGTTTGCGGGAAAAATTGTTATAATATCGGGTGACTGGAAGCAGTCTCTTCCTGTAGTTGAGGAATCATCGGCTCCCGGAGCCCAGGTAGCAGCGTCAATTCAGTCATCAGAGCTGTATGGAAAATTTGAAAAATATAGGTTAATGCAGAATATGAGAGTAATTCAGTCGGAAATCCAATTTAAGGATTGGCTTTATAGTATAGGAACTGGGCAAACTGGCGATTCTGTTATAATTCCGGAAGCGATGAGAGTTAATTCAAGGCAAGAATTGTATAGATTTGTATTTGATACAGGTTTTGATGCACCTGTTAAGGAATTGTTAAAACGTTTAATACTGTCACCAACTAATAGAGTGGTTGATTTGATTAACTCAGAAATTATTGATTTGATAAACGCGCCTGTGCACGAGTATTTGTCAATAGATAATCCGACAAGTGAGAACCCTTTTGCTTATAACTTGGCCGATTATGAAGTAGCCCAATTAAACAGATTAACACCAAAGGGGTTGCCAGCCCACAATTTAAAGCTTAAAGTTGGTGCAGTAATAGTATTACTTCAAAATTTAAATACCCAAAAGGGTTTATGTAACGGGACCCGATTAATTGTTAAGCGTTTACGGCCAGACTTAATTGAAGCTGAAACCATAAGTGGTTCTTCGGAACGTGGTATTGTTGTGGGAATTTGTAGAGCAAGAAATAGTTATAAAGAACTTCGTCCTGACGGAGTTAGTTTTGAAAGGTTTCAATTCCCAGTAAGGGTAGCATTTTGCATGACTATAACTAAAGCCCAAGGGCAAACTTGTGAACGTTTAGGTATCGATATAAGTGATGAACCCTTCGCTCATGGACAAACATATACCGCTTTTTCAAGGTGCAGAAGTGGAGAAAATATTAGAGTATTCGCACCAGGTAAAAAACCCGATAATAATGGAAATGTTGCTATGAGAAATGTAGTAGCAAGAGGAATCCGTTTTGACTAACTTTATATGAGCGGACTGCCGACAAATTTTATTTACTTTACTTTTCTCAGTCAAATTCTTTTTAACATTCCATCAGCATTCCATTCAGTCATCAATTAACCCTGTCCGCGGTCGACCCCAATTGATTTACTTCTCAATTTATTTAGGTAACATTGATTGAAATTTACGAAAATTTTAAATATTTTAGCAAAGGTTATAATGTAATTCTTTTTTAATTATTTGTCTATACGTTTAAATAAATTGAGAAGTACCGGATCCGTTGGTGTATTCGCACCAATCGATCTGGGTTTTGGGTTTGACTGCACAATGGTTGACTGGATTTTAGGACAGGGGGCATACCAGTTAATTGTTGTTTATTTAGTTAAATAATTTAGTTAATGATTTAAAAACAAGATTTAATTTTTTCGTTTGAGTATATTTTTATTTTTCGTTTAAGTTTTCATTTTGAATTTTAAGATTTAAACAATTAACTGGTATGCTTTATCATAACTGTTTTATATTCTGAAATAATACAAGGTTGTTGTTTCTCAATATGGAACAATTATGAGTTTCCGATATTTACTTTTCATCCCTACCATGAGCGGAATGCCGACATGTACCGAATTTTAGCGAAAATTAAAAATTATAATTAAAGATATTTTTAAAAAATATATTAAAAAATATAAAAATGTAAATTCTTTATAAACAATACTATTTTTATTTGTCCATGTGTCATCCGGAATGTCGAGACGTATCCACCGTTATTTAATTTCCTATATGCGTCAGCGGAATGCCGAGACGTATCCACCTTTGTTTAATTTCCTATATGCGTGAGCGGAATGCCGACACGTATCCACCTTTATTAAATTGTCCTATATGCGTGAGCGGAATGCCGACACGTATCCACCTTTATTAAATTGTCCTATATGCGTGAGCGGAATGCCGACACGTATCCACCTTTATTAAATTGTCCTATATGCGTGAGCGGAATGCCGACACGTATCCACCTTTATTAAATTGTCCTATATGCATGAGCGGAATGCCGACACGTATCCACCTTTATTAAATTGTCCTATATGCGTTGTACGGAATGCCGAGACGTATCCACCTTTATTAAATTGTCCTATATGCGTGAGCGGAATGCCGACACGTATCCACCTTTATTAAATTGTCCTATATGCGTGAGCGGAATGCCGACACGTATCCACCTTTATTAAATTGTCCTATATGCGTGAGCGGAATGCCGACACGTATCCACCTTTATTAAATTGTCCTATATGCGTGAGCGGAATGCCGACACGTATCCACCTTTATTTAAATTTTATGTGTCAAACGGAATGCCAAGACTTATCCTATTTTGTTCAATTTATAAAAGTTACTTTTTGTTTAATTTATAAACGTCACACGGAATGCCGAGAAGTATCAAACTTTACTAAAAATATATAAAATATAAAAATAAAAATTATTTAAAAATCCACTTTATTTAAGAATGTTATATTAAAAATTATCATCATTTTAAACTTCTAAAATAATTTAAATTAAAATTCTTTCTTTTTTACAAAACTTTTTTCTGTGCCAACGGTCTAACTGGGCATGGGGCCAACGGTTACACGGGTTCTGTGCCTGCGGTTCTAACCGGGCATGGGACCAACGGTTTTACCGGGTCGGGGTACAGGGTTTGCCCGTTTTCCTCCGTGCACCTCCACGTGGTGTACCCTGGGCATTGTTATATAATTTTTAAATATTATATAATATTGTTATATAATATTTGTTATATAGCATTGTTATATAATATTTAAATATTATACAACAATGGCTAAGCACGGTTAAAAACGGGTTGTTATAAAATTTATGAAGAAAAAAAGCCTTCTAGCAGCGCGCGAAGCGCGCCCCAAAGCCGTTAGGCTTTCCAATGCGCAAAGTATCGCAACCAAAGGCTCCGCCTATTAAATTCCAGAGCATACGTAACTTATCGCCATCACCCCAAAGGCACAACTAGTTGGAAGACCTAAAGAAAAAAAGAATTTATTATCCCACCGTCGATGCAAAAGGGGTAATACTTTCGGGTGTTTTGGAGGTGGAAGTAAAAGAAGCTCTAATCAACCTTTTACACAACGTGAAGGAAAGGCACATGTTGAAGAAGAAGGAACTTCGAAGAAAAGGGCTTTGTATATTTTCGACAACTTTTTCTACTCTCACGTTCAATTACATGTAAATATTTTAAAATTTATTTTCAGTGAAATCTCGATATTATGGAATCTCGACAATCTCGATATTATTATTGAGCTTTATGGCATTTAAATTATATAATATTTTCCTAAAGTTTGATTTTAATAATAATAAAAATTGCAGTTAATGCTTGCTAAGGCTTTATCTGAAAATTACATCGTGGTAAGTGATTGATAAAAGGATAAAACTCACTCTACCATAAGAAAAGGCTTAAATCTCATTTAATTACTGTCTTACTGATTAATTACTGCTAAAAAATATTTTAAAAAATTCGGAATAAATAATATAATTTTCTGTAGGATATGCTTGTTTATAGTAAACCAAACGGCATCCCTATAGAACTCGAACCACTGCCAACTGACTTGCAAATTATCGAACTGTATATAGACGAACAGTATATAGAAGATTTTAAATGTTCAATGGAATATGAAGTAGCAATTTTTGAAGGTACTGGATTCTAAATAAACTTGATCCATTTAAATGGCTTGGAGTTACATAATATATACTTACGCATAATGATTATAATGTTGAATATTCCTAGAAAATCATTTCCTTTCGGTACGAGACACGTATTTGTAAGGGTAGGCTAACTTAGGTAGGCTAACTGACTTTGTAACCACAATTTTGATCACACAAAGCTGTGTGATCACTTACACTAGGTTGTCGGTTTCACCAAATTCTTCGGTTAATCTAAACCGATTATAAAACTTCGATTAATCGAAACTGAACCGACAGACCAACCCGAAAGTTTGAGGTTAACCGAAACCGAACCGAAAATTGGTCGTCAATTAAGAAGATATATGGAGATTAAGGGGGTGCTATGAGTGGATTGTGTGATGCTATAAGATATCGTACGATAAAAGTAGCTATGAATTGCTTGAGTTGATTTACGGGATATAGTGGATCACGACTGTTAAAGGGATCTGAGGGAATAAAGAAGATTATATTCTCTCCGGTATTCTCTCCAACATTCTCTCCAAATCCATGATATCCCCTTTAATTCCCTCATAATCCTTTGAATTTCACTTAATCCAGCAAATCACCAGATAATCTCACCTAAAAATTTTGAGTTCTGTGTACTCTGCCCCAGTCCGTTCTCGACTCCTAACTTTGAGAGAAATTATAGAAATATTTTTAATTTAAGATTTAGTAGAAAACCAACAAGTCAAAATTGGAGAGGAAAATATAGGTATTCTTGATTGGATAGCTCAACAACCAAAACATTCTTTTGGAATTGCGGATTTTACTGAAATGGCTGGCTCTTTTGCTGTTTTTGAATTTTTGGGAATTGAAAAAACTTTTAATGTTTTTCCTAGCGTTATTCCACCTGGAATTCTTCAATTTTTTGAAATTAACATTGTACAACAAATTCGTGAAGGTCATACTGTTATTCCAGGTAAATTTTGGTGAAATTTTTAGAAAAACTGAAAAAAACAGGTCAAATAATTTTAAACCCAAATAAATATTCTAATCTAAAATATCCTTTAAAAACCATTTATATGTACAAAATAATGTATGCAAATCAAGTCTGGCATGAGACTAAATGGGATTAAATTTTTAACTCATAATTTTATCATTTTTCACTTAAAGAATTATTTTTTGCGAAACCTGGAGATTGGATATTTACACAAGATGGATGTCATTTCAAACCAGAAAGATTCGAGAGAAATTTGAAGGAACATAAAAATGAAATAAATTCAAAAAAAAAGTTTTATCAAATGGCTGTTAGCAAAACTTTGATTAATGCTTTAGAAATGCCCAAGTCAAACCGGAAGGAATATTTTCCAAATTTATTTAATAAAATTAGCTATCATTTTGTTCATCAACATTCATTTGCTAATTTCAAAAATTATCCGTTTGATGATAGAATTGTTTATATTGGAGGTATTCGTGTTGAGGAAAGTGAAGAATATTTGAATATTAAAAATAAGAATGAGGTAAGAATTAAAGATAAGAATTAACATTAGTAGTTTTTTGTCTTAAAATAAAAAAATAGTACGTCTTTAAGCATCCTTCACTGGTCCTCGTCTCTTTTGGAATGGTTAACGATCATGGTCAAATGACTAGTAATAATGTTGATTTTATGATTAAATTATTCAAAGAATACAGTAATTATCAATTTAAAATAAAATTGCCTAATGATTATAATCTACAAAATTCTCAAAATATAGAGATTGCTGCTGGTTTTATTGAACAACAAAAAATATTATGTAAATTACTATATTTGGATCTATTCTGCAGAGGTGTTAGAATTCCGAGTTCCGATTTCCGTTATTTTTAAAACAGATTTCCTTTTTGAAGCATTGTTCAACTGGAATTTTTGCCCAAGATTCTCAAACATTTTGCCGACGGCTCTGAAAAGGGAAAGGGAACTATATCTCTCAAATCCTGACAAATCCAAGATATAAAGTTTCTACAAAACCCTTTGCTTACAAAACCCATTCCTAAAAACCCTTTTTTCCCACACTTTGTAAAATTCCACTCTATATATCATTCAAGTTTCAAAAATCCGGGTATATAGGAATCTAGGGGGTTATCACCTGACCCTTCTTAATCTAACCCTTCTTAATCCATCATTATCTCTTCAATCCATCTTAATCCTCTTTATCCTACTTGAATCTCTCGCTATCACTTTTAATCTAACATTATTGTCCTCTAAATCCCACGATATTCTCCAAATTCACAAGTAACCCTCTTTATCACCCAAATCGTACAAAATCAGTTGATACTACAAATTCGCCTCCTTCGAGCGAAAACCATAACTTGCCTTTACATTTCTGTTAACTACTTATCTTAAATAACTTGGTTTTAAAATAAATATTTAAAAACTTTTTGAATTTTAAAAATATTTTGTTAATCATTTGATCATTTCTTATTAGTCGTTCTGATTAAACCACATTTGTATTATTGGGATGTCAGGAGATTTAAAGGATAGCAATCCCATAAAAACCACTGGGAAGTATATTCCAAAAAAAGTTTAAGACTTTCAGTTGATCCAAATACAAAATTTTTTGTTTCGCATTGTGGACAGAACAGCTTGACTGAGGTAAGCACACTTTAAGGATCCAAAAGACTCTTCAAAATTATTAATTTAAAGGCAATATATGCAGCAGTTCCTTTAATTTGTATTCCAAATTCTGGTGACCAATACTACAATGCTTCTCTTGTCGAACATTTGGGTATTGGAATTTATGTAAATCTACTTTGGAGAGACAATAAAGCACATAGAAATCCTAATTTCGGAGTTGAATTTCGAAATGCTGTTAAAGAGATGTTTGTAAAGTGAGTAGATTTATTATACTAGGGCAGGTTTATTGCTCAAATCCCCTGATATCCCCTCAATCCCTTCAAATCCCTAATCCTTCAATATCCTTCTAAATAACTGATATTCCTTGAAACACCCCTTAATCCTTCCAAATCCCTTATATCGCGAGATATGCCAGTCAATCCCTTCAAATCCCCATAATCCGTTCAAATCCCCTTATATCCCCAAATGTTTCCTTTAAATCCATTAAAACCATTTAATCACCCCTTATTTTCCTTAATTTTTGAATAGAAATATACCAAGAGTGAATTATTTTTTGAACATTTTTTCATAAAAATTTTTTTCCATAGAACCCGGTCCCCTTCCCCGACCAAATTTTAATCCCCGCACCTCGCCCCAAAACAATTTGAGAACCCCGTACCTCGACACACCCGCACCCGAGCGTTCAGGGTGCAACCCTAGTTTTTTATCCACAAGGAGTAATTAAAATTGAGATCCGAGTTTAGTTAAGATAGGGAGCTTATTTCAATACAGAATAAGTAGTATGCATCTAATAAAAATAAATTCAAAAATATCTTTTAGCAATAAATATCAACAAGCAATGCTCGTATTGAGAGACAATATTTTTTCACATTACAACAATGGTGTTAGAGCTAAAAATGTTTTCCTTCAAAAGATTGCAGGTGTTGTTGGTGTTTAGTAGAGCTGTTTTATGAAGAAAGAAGAAGAAGAAGGATTTTGGATTTTAAAAATTTATTTTTGGGAGGGTTATTTATAGAAAAATTAAAAAAAATTTATTATTATAAAATTTTCAAAGCCCTAAAAACTTTTTTAAAAGTAAACTGGCAATAGAAATATGGAATATTATAATGCCTCCATCGAAGTAAAGAGGGGATATTGCCAAGCAATAAATCAATCAAAATTTTTTTTATTTACCTTGTTAAAATTTTAAAATTTATTTTACATTCTCTCTCGTTTCTTTCCCTATAGCCGATTTGGAAAGGGCATAAGAGTTGTTTCGAAATTTCGATTTTCGAGGTTATTTGCTCTTGATTTTTGATTTTGACTTTTTGGCTATAAAATTTGAAATTTTGGCGACAGAAAGGATGAATTTTGGCTAATTGGCCTTTCAAAATTTTCGCCTGCGGCGCTGAAAATAAAAGAAATCTGACTTCGAAAATTCAGAGGATACATATATGGGTGTGTGGACGCTATTGGGGAAATCAGTGGAGCCACTAAAGTATACAGCACATGGATTTTCAACATTAAACGTGGTCCAAAAAATCTACAAAAATAGATTCAGAAAATGTATTTTTATAAATTAATTTTTTACATTTACTTTTTGATAATTATTATCAACATTTCTGTTGGAAGGCGGAATAGGTCCCGCCTGTTTTCGAGTCCCGCCGGTTTTACAAAATGCCTTTGTACTTTCCCGTTATTTCCCCCCATTTTCCTTTCCTTCCTACCTCTCAATCGTTTCTTTCCCTTTAGCCGATTTGGAAAGGGCAAAAGAGTTGTTTCGAAATTTCGATTTTCGAGGTTATTTGCTTTAGATTTTAATTTTGATTTTTTGGCAATAAAAGGTTATTATAAAAGTTACTGCTATAAAAATCGTAAATTTTTCCAAAATTTCAGAAATCAGATGGAACGAAACGCTGGAAATCTAAGTCGGAAATCGGAATTCCGACCCACCTCTGCTTTCTAGCGTCAAAAATTCAAATTTTATAGGCAAAAAGTCAAAATCAAAAATCGAGAGCAAATAACCTCGAAAATCGAAATTTCGAAACAACTCTTTTGCCCTTTCCAAATCGGCTAAAGGTAAAGAAACGAGAGAGAGAATGTAAAATAAATTTTAAAAATTTGACAAGGTAATTTAGATTGATTTATTGCTTGGCATATTTCTTTTAAAATAGTTGTTAATAAATAATAGTTTTGACTTATTTTTAACAACTAATTGGGTTTTAATGGCCCAGTTGTCTTTTAAGTATCTGACGGGTTAGCTCTTTATGAGATTTATCCAACACATTTTAAATTATTAATAAACGAAATGGAAACGGGAGTTTTCTGTCCAATCTGAATATTTTAATAATTATTGCTTTTTATCTTTAAAACTCTGTATTTTCAATGATAAATATTCCTAAACTTTAACACAATCTAAAATTAATAAAATATTTATTAATTTTTAATAAATATTTTTTAATTTGTAAAATGTATTATTTTAAATTAATTTTTTTCATTTTCTTTTTGTTAATTATTATCAACATTTCTGGTGTAAAAACTAAAGAAAAAAATAATTTATTATTCCAACGTCGGTGCAAAAGGGGTAATAATTCTACCTGTCTTGAAGGAGAAAGTAGTAGAAAGTCTAATCAACGTTTTGGGAAACGTGAAGGAAAGGCACATGAAATAGAGGAAAGTGAACTTGAAGGAGGAAATTCAAAGAAAAGAATGAAAATAAAAAAAGAGGAAATTGAAATTAAAGGGGGAAAGTCGAAGAAAAGAGCCTTGTATATTTTCGATAACTTTTTCTACTCTCACGTTCAATTACATGTAAATATTTTAAAATTTATTTTCAAACAAATCTCTAGTAATCACTACTGTGTCTCTTCAAAATGAAAATTTGGTACCGAATTAACTTGCCGTAGCTTTTGACTCTTGCTTATGGCTCTGAGAAAGACTGACTTACTTTTTAGTGTCCAAGGAGGTTTCCTGCCGAGAACTAATAAAATAAGCAAATGGATACTATGATAGTACATTTCCCTGGATGCTTGAACCAAAATTTATACTCATATTCATACCTCGTATCGTACCTGGTACGAAGTACAAGTTCGAGCAAAACTATAAAATGTTATGATTAGGGCGTGTCAAAACATGCAAATGCATATTTTGCATGCGGATATGCCATGAGCTGAAACGCTCAAAAATGGTGTTTTTACATCGGTTAGAGCACTTTAGAACCCGGTTCTTAATGCATATTTTTGCATATTTCGGTACTTTCGTGCATATTTGCATATCTGTGCATATTTTGGTAAATTATCAACATACATAGGCTTATAGTAAAGGCTTTATCTATTATTAATCATTATTGAGCTTTATGCCATTGAAATTATTTAGATTAGATAATATTTTTCTAGAGTTTGATTTTAATAATAATTAAAAATTACAGGTAATGCTTGCTACGGCTTTATCTGAAAGTTACATTGTAGTAAGTGATTTATATAAATTGATTTATACAAAAGACTCATTTTACCATAAGAAAAGGCTTAAATGAGCAGGATTGTTTGACATGGAAAAATGAGCTTCGTCGTCATTTAATTCGACGGGGCCATTAATTACTGAATTCTTGTTACAATCTTCTATTAATATATTTATATTAATATACATATGTATTAGTGTGACTGAATCAGTGGCACTAAAAATATTGTCGAAAATTCTGAATAAATAAAATTATTTTTATAGTATATAATTGTTTATAGTATAAAGGACGGTATCCCTATAGAGCTCAACTCTCTATCAACCGACTTGCAACTTATTGAATTGTATTTAAACATACTCCATTTGGATCGGCAGAAACTTGCTACCGATGGACTATTTAAAGCTTACGACGATTTTAAAGATTCAGATGATTATGAAGTAGCAATTTTTGAAGGTATGGAATTCTAAATAAACTTTCCCCATTAACTTGGTCCGATTTCCGGCTCTGACTGTTCCGACCCACCTCTGCTATAAATAAATATAATGTTGGATGTTCCTATGGAATCAGTGGTTCCTAGAAAATACCTAGGTAACATCGTGTTGTAAACAAAACATTGCCTATTTTGACTAGTCTAACGGGCTTGTATGACCACAAGTTTGATCCCACAATGCTATGTGATCACTTACAAGTAGGACTGTCGGTTTCGCCAAAATTTTGCGTTAACCAAAACCGACCGACAGTTTCCGGTTAAATTTCTTCCAATTGTCTCAACTTTTAACTTTGAGAGGAATTATAGAAATAGTTTTAATTTAAAGATTTAATGAATAATACTAAAGTCAAAATTGGAAATGATTATAAACAAATTCTTGATTATCTTGGTCAACAAAAATATTCTTTTGGAATCGCCGATTTTACTGAAATGGCCGGGTCTTTTGCTGTTTTTGAATATTTGGGGATTGATAAAACTTTTGATGTTTCTCCTAGTATTATTATCCCTCCAATTCTTCAATTTTTTGGGATTAATATTGTACAACAAATTCGTGAAGGGCATACTGTTATTCCAGGTAATTTTTGGTGAAATTGTTAGAAAATTGAAAAAAATTGGTCGAATAAGTCTAAACCCCAATAAATATTTTAAAATGGCATGAGCACGAAATCCAAAATCCGGTTTTTGGACCGGAAAGATGCGGTTGACACTAACTTGATCCATT